CCTTGGTTCACTCTCCACAAGGTCTTTCCTCCAAAGCTGGCCCTCTCTGCAACTGTAGTCCTCCCCCAGTGAAACTGCATGGAAATGCTTGTGTTAGAACCTGGATCACCAACCTTGCACCACACATGCTGTGATCACTGCAGTTCTCAAGAGGCTGCTGCACCATGCCCCTCCCCCTGCCTCCCTGGTGACCTTCTCAAGCTGTAGCTTGCAACCTTTCCCTGGGAAAATGATGAGGACTTGGTGACTAAGTGAACTGACCACAAAGAAGTGTGTCATGCACTGGCCCACTGCTGCTTACTTTCTGTGAAGAGGGCAGTTGGGTAATTGGTCAGGTAATTGGCTGCTTCTGATTTATGCATAGTTAACATTTTTGGAGACAGCCAAGTGGCAGGGCAAGCCAAATGTCAGGGCAGGAAGAGGTGAATGGCAAGGCTGTCTACAGTCTCTGGAGCAAGCACTGCCCTTTTTTAAATGTTTTCTCCTTACTCAAAGCAGCTGCTTTGCTTTTGCACCAGCAAAAACACACAATTGTTTGGCCAAAAGATCTGTGTGTTTTGCACGCTTGATTCTGTGCCCTGTGAGGTTCTCAGGGGCCATGGGCTACAAGTCAAGGAGGCATGGAGAAATTGCTGTATGTCAGGAACATGAATCCTTGTTTCAATGGCCAGTGATCATGGGAGGGAAAGAACCACAGGAGGCTGGGAAAGAATGGCTAAGGGGTTTGTGATGGTTCTGTCAAACCTTCATAGAAGCATACCATATTCAATCCCACAAATGTGGGATGACACTGAGGCAAGAAAGGACAGTCAGAGGGAAGAGGAAGCTGGGCAAGGGAAGGTTACGGTGTTCCTGTTTGCAAGCAGCTGCCCTGGGAGAGGAACAAAAGAGGAATTAGGGAAAGGCTGGCAGGGTCAGTCCAGTCTGCAGACAGCTACTGTGGGAGTGAAATCATAGGGTTGGAAGGAATCTCAGGGTCAGCCTGTCCTCAAAGAAGTGGTAGAAACACAAGGGAAGGGACTCTGGGGCTGGAGGAAAAATAAGTTGCACTGCAATGTTAACCCCTATGTTGCAAAAAAGAATGGAGTGTTTAATCACATGCAGCAACAGAATTACCTGAGAACTGACTGAAAGCCCTAAAACAGCAGTCTCCTAATGTCATAGGAGAAATTTCCAGAGTAATTCCACTATGTTTCCCACCTCCAGCAGACACAGGGCAGTCACCTCTGTGGTTCATGAAAGGGATGGAATGGAGAGGTGTGAATCCACAAATCTGCCTGAGACCTACAATCAGCTGCCCTCCCCACTCTTCAGCAGACCACGATGGGATCTGCTAGCACTCCACAGTCCTCATAGCCTCAGAGACAATCACACCTCAAAGGCTGACTGTGACCACTCTACCCTCTACTCTGGCAAGTATAAGGCCCCCCCATCTTCCCAAGGTTTGGCCTTACCAGAAATCAGAGACCTGACAGTAGACAACTATGACCCAGCCATGCCCCAGGGCTTTCTCAAAACAAGCTTTGTGGTGACTTTAGCCATTTTGAGGGAGGGAAGGGGGTTAGTGATGCTGTCAGAGTGAGTGTCCCATTACTCACCAATGGGTTCAACGGTGTTCCCTCTGTGTAGGTATGAGGATGAGGGCAGGGTGGTCCGGAGTGATAGAGATAGGGGGATCGTGACGGATGATGTTAGGATGTTATGGTACGATGATGGCAGGATGGTCAGCTGTGAGGATGGTGGCGTAGACAAGTATGATTCTGGCAGGTTGGTTGGCTTGGTCCTCCACAAAGTCAGTGCCATCCAAGCTGTTGTGTCTCAAGAGCTAGTGCATCTCTTGCTCCATGGTTCTTGGTTCAGGAGGAGGAACTCCCTAGGATGCTCCTGTCCCTTCTGTATTGCATCTAGGCAAGGGGTTTGGTCTGGAACCTCCTCAAAGTCCCTCAGAGCTATGACACTGCTCTCATCAAACATGTACACTCCACAGAGAGAGACAAAACATAGCACCAGGGAGTCCTCACTAGCCAACATGCACAGCTTCTTGTTAGTAAGGGCATGTCACCCGTCAAGCACCCAAACCATGGCATCATGAGTTTTTGTGTACTGCACCTGCAATGCCTTATCTTCAATCTGGCACTGATGCCAACCCTTTTTGTGCCTATGAGCTGCATGATTTGTTCCTACACAGTGGGTGCATTTACACACAATTAATGCTCCTGAATTTTCTGCGCAGAAAATTCAGGTGCATTGAATTGCATCTGGACACATGTCTAAACATTCACCTGGGTCAGGAGCAAACTGAGCCTGACAGAAGCAGCTTACTCCAGGACTGCTTCTGCACCGTTCTGCCCCCTGCAGCAGCCAGGGGAAGCTCCAGGCTCCCCAGGGTGCAAGCCCCAGGCTGGCAAGGGCGCTGGCCAAGATGCATGAGGCGGGAGTGTGGCAAAAAGCCACCTTGGTTTCTCCCCAAAAATCTCTGCCCTGTGACACTGACACTATGATTTAAATCTCTGTGCTGTGACCATTCAATTAGGATGGGCCCAGCACACAGGGGACCACACCCTCAGCCTCTCTCTTTAGGGAACTTGAGCTGGCTGCATTCTTGAGGGAGGGAGGAAACCTGCTCCCTCTGCTTACGTGATTGGTACCTGGGTGAGGGGCATCTACCTGGGGAGCTGGAATCTGCCCGGTAACAGGTGATGCATTTCAAACTGGTTGGCTGACAGCCAACTGGGGCTGACCTCCACTGGCCCAGGTGAATGAGGTCACAGGGGCTATATAAGTTAGGACGGGGAAGGAGGCGGTCTCACCGGCCATGAGGTGACGCAGCAGCCAGGCAGGGGACACAGAGAAGCCTTAACATTTGAAACTGGCTCTCTCCCCACAAACTCACGAGCTAGGAACCGCCTACCTCCAAAGGGAAACTTCACCTGCCTTTGGAAGATGCTTGTGAGTAAGCTACTCAATCTGATTAGATATTTAGCTGGCAGTAACACAGATGCATAATAAAAAGGCTACCAAAGCCAGACTCTTTGCTCTTTAGGATTTCTAAGATATTGCTCAATCCTGTACCCTAGTTTACCCTACCCCTTGTAATCAATAAAGTTCTCCTTTTTGACTGGCGTGGGAGACTTATTGAGGGGTGGGTCTAAATTATGCCTAAGAGACCCCTTAGGTCTGCAGACTAAGGGA